GAAGACGACGAAGATGAAAATGAGGGTGAGGAGGAGCAGGAGGAGGAGGAGGAGGAGGAGGAGGAGGTAGAGGAGGAGCAAGAGGTCATATAAGAAATACGAGGTGTATACATGTATGTATATGCATGTGCGCCTTTCCGCTTGACTTGGACGTTCTGTGTGTATGCTTGCCAGTCTGGGGCTCTGAGGCCTAAAGAAACAAAGGCCCCCGGCCTCGCCTCGCCTGCCCTGCACACCTCGGCCGCCGGACCCCCCCCCCCAATCGTCCGGGTGGTCCCTGAGCATCTTCCGCCTCGCAGGCTCTGCACACCGCGGCCGCCAGGCCCCCGTGGCCAGGGTGGTGCCCGAGTGCCCCGCCTCGCCTGATGGGCTTGTTTTCCACCACCACCACCACCACCATGAGTTGGAGGGGGGAAGGAGGTGGAGGATGAGGAGGAAGAAGAGTAGGAGGTGGAGGAGGAGGAGGAGGACCCCCTTTCCCTCCTACTTATGGTGGTGGCGGTGGAAAACAAGCCCAACATCGCCGGCTTTGCACACCGCGGCCGCCAGGCCTCAGAGATCCCCGAGAGCCCAACGGCGGCTCCACGAGCAGGCACACAGAGCAGGGGGTAACGGAGAGGCAACCCCTGCCTAGGGAGACGTCAGGCCGTCCAGACGTCACGACGTCACGCCGTCCACTGACATCTAGAACAGGCACCAAGAACAGGCACCAACCGCAGACAACAGCGCCATACTTCGCAAATAGTTGTCAGACGCATCAACATATTCTATGCGTCACGAACAAACGCATCAATACTATACAGAAATCATGTACACCAGACGCAGTCACCACACACGCATGCACCAATGTATCAAAAAGAGAAGCCCAGAACACACATCCAGGCTATAGACCGAGCTCGTACATCAAGCTCAGACACAGGGAATAGCTCAGACACCAAGAACACACATCATCCCAGGCATTAGTCGCGTGCGTCACTAACTTGCACCAAGAGCTGGCGTAAAGGACTGGCATTCAGAACGCGCATCTTGATGTGTTGAAGTTCCCTGGCTGGGATCGCCCGAAGCATACACATGTGTCAACCTTCTGTTTCAGATTGTCCGTGGGCCCGAAGCGGGTCGCCGAATACCCGATACACTGCCCAGCCCGAGAAAGGTTCAGGGGGGCGGTATAGGCATAAGGGGGGATGCATCGACCCCCGATCGCCCATCGATCGCCGATGTGGGGCCCGATGGCCCCAGCCTGCTCAGGAGCGTGCGGCTTCACGCTCGGGGGCCCATCGCCGATCCGTCGGCGAGGCGTCGCCGAATTCGGGTCGATGTGCCCTCCCCTGCCGGTGCCCCTCGAAAGGTGCAGCGGGGGGCGCTGGACGAGCACGCGCCCGCGCTGGGCGGCGCCGGGGACGACGTCCGCTCCGCGGCGGCCGCCGTGCTCGCGGAGAGCGAGGCCGGCGGCTCCGCACGCCCGCCGCCGCCGCCGCGGGCGGCCGCGCGGCCACGCGTGCCGCCCGCCGTCCGTCGCGCGATGGGCGGTCGGCGCGTCGCTCGTGGGCGCGCCGGGGTCGGGCGGCGCGGTCTGCACACGTCCGCTGCCCCTGCGGGAGGCCACGGGCGGGCCCTGCCCCACCACCACCCCACGAATCCTGAGGGGGGCGGCGGGGTTCACCGCGCGCTCGAGACCTCCCGAGCGAGCAGGGAGCCCCCCCTATCCCCCCTCAGGAGCCGTGGGGCGGGGGGGGGGGTACTCCCAGTTTCTGCGAAGAGGCGTCGGGGGGGGGCGCCACGCCCGCCGGCCCCCGTCGGGGGGGTCCCCCCCCCGCGCTGACCGAGAAGCCAAGGGCAGGGTTTGCACGCGGCCTCAGCCCCTGGCCAGGCCCAGCCGGGGCCCAGGAGCGGAGCATATGCATGCGGTGCCTCCCCGGGCCAGGCCACCGGGGGCCCTCCTGGAAGCCTCATGGGGGCCCCTCCTCTGCCGTCCGAGGTTCGAGCAGCCTGGAGCGCATTTCGCCCCGTGGTTGGCATCGCCTCCTCTCGATGCCAAGCCTGAGGGTTCCCCCAGCTGCTGTGGGCGCATCCCAAAGTTCGTCATCGCCTTTTGGCTCGTCAATGCTAGGGATAAGGGCACGGCCGTGTATTTCATTGCCTTTCACGCGCTCGCGCTCTCTCTCGGGCCACTGTTCACCTCATGAGTTTGCCTATCGCCGGTCGGCTCGTGGGGTTGCACCCAGTGCGTTTGTCTGGCGACCCTTTGAATCGCATGGCAGTCGAGAGTGTGCAGTGTGGAGATGGAGTTCATTCTGAAGGGGACACGGGGGCAGGGATACTCTGGGTTTCTTAAAATGCGTGGGGGGGTGCCCCCCCGACGGGGGTCAACCTCGCCTCGTCGTCCCGCCGCGACAGGGGTCGGAGCGCCTTCGGCGCGCGGTGGCTGCCCACGACGGGGATCGATGTGGGGCTGTCGGCAGGGGTGACGCCCCCCCAACGCTTATCAAGAAACTCGGCGTAGAGGCCTGGTCGGTGTCATGCATGGAGGCATGGCGCCTCCCAGGTTTCCTGGCCCCCCTCCTCTTCCTGCGGCACGCTCCCCCCCCTCCTCCTCCTCCTCCTTCTCCTCCTCCTCCTCCTCCTCCTCCTCCTCCTCCTCCTCCTCCTCCTCCTCCTCCTCCTCCTCCTCCTCCTCCTCCTCCTCCTCCTCCTCCTCCTCCTCCTCCTCCTCTCCTCCTCCTCCCCTCCTCCTCCTCCTCCTCCTCCTCTCCTCCTCCCCTCCTCCCTCCTCCTCCTCCTCCTCCTCCTCCTCCTCCTCCTCCTCCTCCTCCTCTCCTCCTCCTCTCTCCTCCTCCTCCTCCTCCTCCTCCTCCTCCTCTCCTCCTCCTCCTCCTCCTCCTCCTCCTCCTCCTCCTCCTCCTTCCCCCCCCCGCCTCCTCCTCCTCCTCCTCCTCCTCCTCTCCTCCTCCTCCTCCTCCTCCTCCTCCTCCTAGCCGCTTCGGGCTCGCGAGGTTTCTCGCGCGCCTTGCAGGTGCCTTTCTTCGGAGCGGCAGCGCGCCTGCGAGCCAGTTCTTTTCGCTTCCATCCAACCCCCGCGCAGGTTGGATGGCCAGTCCCGATCATGATGTGCTGCCAGGACCGATTCGCCCCTTCTGGGGCTGCCCGGCCTGCGGCGCTTCCGCCAACTACGCATCGCGCATTCGGTGCCGATGCGGCCGCCATGCCCCGCAGTCTATCGCAGACAAGGCGCGCAAGGCGGCCAAGCAGAGTGAAGCTGGTGGTCCACCTCATGCTCCTGGGGGTGCAGGCGGCCGACGCCGTGCTGGGGGCGCTTGGGCGTCAGGGCCGCCAGGCAGTGTGGATGGAGGTATCGCCCGCGAGCTCGCTGAGCTCAAGCGCAAGTACGCTGCCCTCCAGAAGTCCAAGGCCGAGTCCCCCGCCGAGCCTGCCCCTCCGCCCGACCCGCTCGAGCTTGAGGTCCAGCGCTGGGAAGGGATCGTGGCCCAGTTTGCCAAGTCGGGCTTGGGCGCAGATGTCCCCAGCCGTGTCAGTGCCGAGCAGTCTCTTGCAGCGGCGCGCAAGGCCCGCAATGATGCCAAGCCGCAGCTTGCGCGCCACACCACCCTCGGGCACAAGCTGCAGGACGCGATCAAGCGCCAGCAGAAGCTCGAGTCAGACGTCAGTGCGCAGGTCAGGGTTGTCGAAGCCGCCGAGGAACATCTCCAGGAGCTCAAGGCCAAGGTGCTGGCCGCGAAGGACCTGGTTGGTACCCTCCAGGCTGAGCTGCGTGAGTCGTGCCCCAAGGACCTGCGTCCTGAAGGGAGTGAGGCTGTCGCCTTCGTGCTGCCCGACCTCCCTACTACTGTGCTGGAGGCCGATGCCGATCTCAAGGCTATGGTGGAGTCTCCTATCTTCGACAAGTTCAAAGAGGCCGTGCGGGCTGCCGCCGCTGCCCAGGCCGCCTCTGCTGGCCCAACCTCCGCGGGTCCCGCGGGCACCGACAGTGGTGAATCGGTCCCCGTCCCAGCGGATGGTGATGAATACATTGATGTTGACGAGGAAGGCATCTCCCAGGTCATGTCCACCACCAAGTTTTCAGGTGACAAGCGGGAGCTCCAGGAACTGTTCAAGTCCCTCGGCCTCGTCGCCAAGAAGCCGCGGCGTGGGTGATGCCCACCGCGGCGCAGTACACCCGCGGGTATGTGGCCTGCCTTTGACGTGTATGAGGCTACCCATGCCCCCGATTTGTAGGAAGGTGTTGCCGCCGACATCGACGGCGACACAGTTCATCGAGACGTTCAATGGCTCGGGGTGGTCCACGCTGCGAGAGCGGCTCACCATGACCACCAGTGTTTTCGTATGCGCCCAGGAGCTTGGCCTCTCCGAGCTCACCGCACCGCAGTCGTTGGCTGCAGTGCGCGCCCTGGGCTGGCGTTTCCTCATCAGCGAGTCTTACTTCAACGCAAAGACGCAGAGGTGCTCGGCTGGCGTGGGAGTTTTTGTTCGTGATGGGTTCGGCTTGCGCTGGACCGACCCGACGTGCAAGGCTATTGTACCACATCGAGCTATACAGGTTACCGTTGACCTGCCTGGTTTCTCGTTCAACATTGTGTGTGCTTACTTCCACGTCAATGATGGCGTGCGTGAGAAGAATTTGTCCTTGCTCAGTGCTATCGGTGCCAAGATCGTCGAGCCTCCGCTCACGGTCATTGCGGCGGATTGGAACAACTCACCTGCTGCCGTCGAGGCTACGGGGTTCGTGCAGAAGTTGAAGGCCGTCATCCTGGCGCCCGCCGCGATCACCTGCCGTACCAGTTCGTCTACGTCCACGATTGACTTTTTCGTTGTAGGGCATGCTCTGTCTACTCTTGCTGCAAGTATCTCTGTGGATAGTGCGTGGCACGTCAGACCGCATCGCCCTGCCTTGCTCGAGCTGCGTGAGAATGCACTCCAGGTCCGTCAGTTGGTTTTTCGGCGTCATACTCGAATCCCCACCCACCTCCCGATCGGCTGTGCTCGGCCCCCTCCATCGTGGGCGTTGTCAGAGCGCCTCCTGCCCAAGCTTCAGTTTCTGTCGGAGCATGGCTCTTCCCAGGAGGCTTGGGCTCTCATGAATGAGGTGTGGTCTCTGTTTGCCAATGCTGCTGAGCAGGAGCTGCTCGATGTTTGCGATCTCCCCGCCACCCGTGCGGGGTGGCGAGGAGCTCGCGTGCAGTCAGTCTGGGAGCCTATCGTCCATCGCCGACAGGAGCCCGATGATGGCACGTTGGTGGCTAACTGTTGGCAATGGATGTGCGGTATGCTCAGCGAGTTTTTGTCACTCACACGTCGCGAGGACGTCGATTGGGTCTCGGGCGAGGGCGCTCACCACCTCCTTGCGGTGCGAGTCCCGCACGCTGGTGAGGGCTTGTGCGCCCGCCTCGACCGTTCGCTCGCGTCAGTCCGTCTCCTGCTCACTCAATGGTCTCCGCAGATGTCTGGGGACAGCGAGTGGTGGGATACAGCTGCTGCTCTCGCCGAGGAGCTAGCTGCGGAATGTGATGAAGTCCAGGCTGAGCACTCCAAGGCCAGAGACCGTTCCTGGAAGGAGTGGCACATCTCGGCGCTCAGTGGCTCGGCCAAGCGTATGCACCGACTCACCCGCATCAAGAAGCTTTGGGAGCCCACGGTCTCCTCCTCCGTCCCTGGGTCGTTCACGTCTGAGCCGTGTCAGTTAGTGCAGGAGGAGACCGTGAAGCTCGGTGGTTTTTGGCATGCGGAGGTTGAACCTCCCGAGGCGTGGATTCCTGACCGCGAGGCTTTGCAGCCCCTCACGTGTGTGCAGTTGCGTGCGGCGGCTCGGACCTTCTCGGAGTCCACGGCCCAAAGCTTAGACGGCTTTCACCCGCGGCATGTGGAGATGCTCAGCGGCGCAGCGCTTGAGCAGCTCAGTGTGATTTTCACGTGCACGGAGCGCCTCGGACCGTTTCCTGCCCAGCTCCTCTGGCTTCTCTTTCCACTGCTTGAGAAGCCGCAGGGCGGCTACCGCCCAATTTTGCCCGTGGCATCCTTTGTGCGAGTGTGGGAAAAGGCGCGCCGTCCTCTCGTGGAGCCCTTCCTCGAATCGTCTTCCCGCAAGTACTGGTCCTTTGGTAAAGGCAGGGGAGCCGAGGAGGCGGTGTGGCATGCTGCGGTCCGTGCAGAACGGGGCCAGGCTGTAGATCAGGAGACGGCGGGGTTTCTGTGGGATGGCCTCAAGTTCTATGAGTCGTTTAACTTAGTGCTCCTGCGTGATCGAGCGCTGGCGTGTGGGCTCCCGCGGCCCCTAGTCAAGGTCCTCTTCAACTTCTGGAGGGGGCCCCGCCTGGTTCGACTGGGAGCTCACCACTGTCCTCTCGTGCAGTTTGCTAGCTCAGGGTTGCCAGCCGGCGACGTGTTCAATGACGCCTTCGTGCAGATTTATCTCCTCGGGGCCCTAGATGGGTTCGTGGCGCGGCACCCCCGCTTGGACCTCGGCGTGTACGTGGATGATGACTGTGTTTCCATGACGGGCCCCCGTGAAGACCTCGTACCAGCGCTCGTGTAGGCAGCCAAGGACCTCGTCACCGTCTATAGGGAGGAGCTCCAGGTTGGCCTCTCCCACGACAAGGCAGTGGTCTTTGGGTCTTGCCACGATGTCGTTCGACAACTCGATCGACGGCTTGCTCGAGTCGGTGCTCGCTCGGCTGTTGCGACGACCTCTGCCACTGCGCTCGGTGCTGACCTGGCTCCTGCTCGTCCTCGTGCTGCTCCTGGTGCTACGTGTCAGATGAAAAAGCGGTTTCGAGCTATGAAAAGACGCGTTGGTTTCCTCCGCGCTTTACGACGACGGATCTCTGTGGGCAAGGCGAAGCTTCACAAGATATATATCTCTGGGGTGCGTCCTGCGGCTACGTATGGATCCCTTGTCACTGGCATGACGGATAGAGAGCTGTTGACGCTACGACGTGCGCTCGTCCCATTCCGAGGAGGCTCGTTACCCGCTCGCATGCTCGTGTATGATGACCCAGCTTGGAAGATAGCAGTGGCGCCTGTCATTCAGTATTGCAAGGCAGTATGGAACTCGATTGTGCAACCTGACCGTGTGGTATTATCGTGGAGGTTCTTGCAACAGACGTGGGATGCCGTAGCCTTGAAGTTCCCTGTCTTGCAGCAGTCGCAGTGGAACAAGAGTGCTGGTCCCATTCATCGTGCCATGTTGTGTTTGCATCGCCTAGGATGGACGTTCACCAACTTCAAGATTTTCTTCGATGACAACCAGATCGAGCACGATTTGTTTTTCACCTCGCCTGCCTTGCTTGCTAAGCAGTTGCATGCTAGTATTCTTCGCCTCCATGCCCGTAGTTTTGCTGCCACTCTCCCTCAGGGGCAGGGACAGGAGGTCTCAGCTGATTTGATTGTCAAGGCAGTCCGTTCCAAGAAATACTCGGCTCTGCAAAAGCATGTTGTCGCGTCAGTGTTTTCTGGTGGCACGTGGACGGAGGACCGCCTCGCACACCA